TGGGGAGGTGTTGGGGGTGAAGGAAGTGTGGACCAGGGTGTCCTGGAGGCAATGGTCCCTGTGGAAGGCGGACAAGGGAGGGGAGGGGAGGGGAATATGTGTCTGGTGGTGGTATCTTGCTGGAGGTGGCGGAAATGGCGTCTGAGTTCAATAATTTTGGGGCCTAAACTCTGCCATGTCTCAGCCCCCCACACCACACACCAGCCTTGTTACCACATAGCCTGCCATTACACACCCCCCCATTGTTAATCACTAACAGTCCCCATTAACAACTACTCACCCTCCCAGCCTGATCGTTAGCAACTCCTTTGTTTGTCCAACTGTCTTTCTGTCTCTTTGGGTTCTGTCCTATCATTTACTCCCTACCCCACCCACCTCCCTATTTTCTGCATATAAACTGACTTTTTCCCAGCCACCATCAGTTCTGAGGAAGGGTCACCGGACCCGAAATGTTAACTCTGTTTCCTCCTCCACAGATGCTGCCAGACCTGCTGAGCTTTTCCAGCAACTTTGTTTTTGTGCATCACAAATAATCCTTTTGGAAATAACCAATTCCTCTCAATTTAATTACTTAATTTTACAAAAGACCCTGCAGTATTTAGCAGGAAATTGAGAAACAAATTTATAAAGTGATCTCCATTATCTGTAAGAACAATAGGGTGGTTACAGTAGGGAATTTTAACTTTCCAGAGATAGACTGGGACTGCCATAGTGTTAAGGGCTTGGATCTAGAGGAACTTGTTAAATGTGCACAAGAATATTTTCTGATTCAATATGTGGATGTACCGACTCGAGGGTGCAAAACCTGACCACCTTGTGGGAAATAAGGCAGGGCAGGTGACTGAGGTGTCAGTGGGGGAGCACTTTGAGACCAGTGACGGTAATTCTAGTTTTAAAATAGTGATGGAAAAGGATAGACCGGATCCAAAAGTTAAATTTCTAAATCGAAGGAAGGCCAATTTTGACAGTATTAGGCAAGAACTTTGAAAAGTTAAGGGGTGGGGGGGGGGGCGGGGAGGAGGGGGGGGGAGCGGAGGGATGCGGATGTTCACAGGTAAAGGGATGGCTGGAAAATGGGGAGCCTTCAAAAATGAGATAACGAGAGTCCAGAGACAGTATATTCCTGTCAGGGTGAAGGGCAAGGCTCTTAGGTGTACTGAATGCTAGATGACGAGAGAAATTGAGGTTTTGGTTAAGAATAAGAAGGAAACATATGTTGGGTATAGACAGCAGAGATTGAGTGAGTCCCTAGAAGAGTATAAAGGCAGTTTGGAGGATTCTTAAGAAGGAAATCAGGAGGGCAAAAAGGGGACATGCGATAGCTTTGTCAAAGAGCGTTAGGGAGAATCCAGAGGGATTCTACAAATAAATTAAGGACAAAAGGGTAACTAGGGAGAGAATAGGGCCCCTTAAAGATCAGCAAGGCCGCCTATGTATGGGACTACAGGAGATGGAGGAAGAGACTCAACGTGTATTTTGCATCAGTGTTTATTGTGAAGAAGAATAGGGAAGATAGAAAATGTGGGGAAATAAATAGCGACCTCTTGAAAAATGCTCATATGACCAAGGAGGTGGTGCTGGATGTTTTAAAGTGCATAAAGATGGATAAGTACCTGGGATCTGATCAGGTATACCCTAGAACTCTGTGGGAAGCTAGGGAAGTGATTGCTGGGTCCCTTGCTAAGATATTTTTATCATTAATGGCCACAGGTGAGGTGTCAGAAGTCTGCAGGTTGGCTAACGTGGTGCCGCTATTTAAGAACGGTGGTAAGGAAAAGCCAAGGTACTATAGACTGGTGAGCCTGACATCAGTGGTGGGCAAGTTGTTGGAGGGAGTCCTGAGGGACAGGGTTTATATGGAGATGGAAAGGCAAGGACTGACGAGGGATAGTCAATGTGGCTTTGTGCGTGGGAAGTTGTGTCTCACCAATTTTGATAGACTGTTTTGAAGAAATGACAAAGATTAATTGAAGGCAGAGCAGTGGACGTTGTTTATATGGAGTTCACCAAGACAAGAATTGAGGCTTGCTTAACACCGAGGATGCAATGTCTGGATTAATGGGTACATTTTGGTTTGGAAAGACATGTCTAGAGGAGTACCACAAGGATTAGTCCTAGGACCTCAATTATTATAACTATCTATGCTAATGGCTTCGAAGAAGGGGGAGAGTGTAATGCATCCAATTTTTCTAACAATACAAAAATAGGTAGGAGGGCACGTTGTGATGAGGATATAAGGAATCCGCAAAAAGATGTAGATGGGTTGAGTGAGAGGTGCGAATTTGGGAGATGGAGTTTTATGTAGCCAAGTGAAGACATGCACTATTGTTGGAAGAACCAAAAAACAGCCAATTATTTAAATACAGCCTTCAAAAAAACTGCAGCACAGAGGATCTGGATGTTTGCGTGCATGAAATACATGTGAAGCAAGTAATTAAGAATGCAAGTGGAATTTTAGCTTTTATTGTTGGGGGATTGGAGTTTAAAAATTGGGATGCCTTGAAATAGCGAAGTCTCGATACAACTGCTCAGGGTGTTGAGGACATACCGGGAGTACGTGAACAGTTTTGGTTCCTGATTTTAAGAAAGGATATACTTAAACTGAAGGGAGTCTTAAAAGGATTACTAGGCTGATTTCTAAAATGAAGGTTTTGATTTTTAAAGTGTAGCTAAGCAGGTTAGACCCTTCATTCAGTTGAGTTTAGAAGAAAGAATTGATCTTCTTCAAACATGTAAGATTCTGAGGGGATTGACAGGGTAGATGTTGAGGAGATATTTCCAGTAGTGGATCACAAACTAAACAACTTCGAAACAGAATAAGGAGACTCTCATTTAGAACTGAGATGTGAAGAAATTTCTGCTCCCAGAAGGGAGTGAAACTGTGGAATTCTGTATCCAAGTGAGTTGTGGAAGTTTGATCACTGCATGTGTTTAAAGAGGAGGCAGCTGGATTTTTGAAATAGTAGGGAGTCGAAGCCGACAAGGAGCTGACACAAAAATGAATAGAAGTTTGGGGGTGGAGCAGCCATGATCTTGAGTGGATGAGCCAGGCTTGAGGGATGGAATGGTTTATTCCTGTTCTTATTTCTTAGCTTCTTGTATTCTAATTACATTTCTTTTTACATATCTTTTTGGAAGGCAAGTTGTGTTCGGCAAAGTTGGGAATGTTCTTGAGCAAGTGGTTGATTTGTAGAGGTAAAGGAATAAATCATATATGTAACAGACGTACGTACATAGATACAATAGCTTATTTTATATGCACTGCCTTTAACAGATCACGTAATGAAAAGTTGTTTCAACCTGCAACCTTAGCTTCTAAAGAGGTCTTAAGAGATGGCCTCAAAACATTAACTTTAGGAAGATGACTTGAGTCATTGACATGGTCACCGGATACCTTAAAATTCTTTACAGCCAATGGCATTTTTTTCTAAAGTATATTTACTTTTGTAAAACAGATAATGTACAGCTAATTTGCGCTCCAAAATGTCCTTCAAAATGCAATGAGATAAAGAGTAGATAATCTCCTTTTTTATGATGTTGAAAGATAAGTATTGACAATGTCTTTATCAACAATTCAGCTATGTTCCCTTGTGATAATGCCAAGCAGCCAAGTGTGGCCTTGGTTTAATGCATCACCTGAAAGACAGAACCTCTGACAGTTCAGTGAAACCTCAGCGCTGCATTGCAGTGTCCAATATGACTTTTGTGTTCAAGCCTCAGAGTGGGCCTTGAAATTGGAGCATTGTAATTTCCAAGACCGTAAGATATAGCAGAAGTGGGCAGTTCAGCCCTCTGAGTCTGCACCACCATTCAATGAGATCATGGTTGGGCTGATGATTCTCAGCTCAGGTCTCTGGGTAACTTACTGATGAAAAATCTACCTCAGCCTTGAATGTACTTAGTGACGTAGCCTGTACATTTCTTTGTGGTGAAGAAATTCTTCCTCATCTGTATCTTAAATGGGTCACTTGTCATTGAAAGATTTATGCCCTCTGATCCTAGACACTCCCACAAGGGGGAAGACCCCTATGTTTCTATCCTGACAAGTTGTGTAAAAATTTTGTGTTTAAACAAGGTCATCTCTCACTGTTCTATATTACAACAAGTACAGGCCTGATCTGCACAGCTCGTCTTCGTATGACAGTTGCTCCATACCTGGGATCAGCCCGGTGAACCTTCACCGGACTACCTCCAATGCCAGTAGATCTTTGCTTAGACAAAGGGCTCAAAACTGTTCACAGTATTCCAGCTGTGGTTTGACTAATGCCTTGTGTAGTTTTAGCAAAATCTCCCAGTTTTTATATTCCGTCCCCTTTGAAATAAAGGCCAACATTTCATTCGCCTTCCCTATTATCCACTGAACTTGGATGGTAGCTTTTTGTAATCCAGGGCTCTCAAATGTCTCTATTCTATAGCTTTCTGCAGTCTTTGTCCATCTAAATAACATTCAGTTCCTCTATTCTTCCTAGTAAAAGTGTGTAACCTTGCATTTTGCCGCATTATATTCCGTCTGCCAAGGTTTTGTCCTCTTGCTTAACCTGTCCATATCCCCTTGCCTTCCTGTGGCTGATGATTCTGATGCTGTAATTGGAAAAATTGAAGTGTGCACTGGGGTCAGATGCAATTTAGCACAGTCAGTCCCCCAAGATGACTTGGTTTGAGAGGAGAAGTCACAGTGAAATACAAGCTCAGTGGGAGGTTGCTGAAAGGAGTTGAAGAACTAAACCTTGGTAGGCTTGCCAACGGTGCTTAACTGTATTTCTGAAACTTTGATCATATGACTTTCTCCCACACTCAGTTGGCCAGCACATTGGTCCTTGTTATGCATGTGTTCCAAAGCTGGTTAGAAAGCAAAAAGACTCCTTCAATTGATATTGCTGGGCTGTCAACCAAACAGCTGTTTTTGCCTCCTGTTTTAAAAGCTCTTCTAAACAAAAAATGTTTGAAGAAAATTGTATTTAATTTTTTTTACATGTCCCTGTGATTTTTTTTACCTTCAGGGTTACTAACTGCTGAGTCCTGGAGAGAGATTTTCAATTTCTGAAGACTCCAGGTCAGTCCTTGAGGCATTGCAACTCGAAGCAAGTCACATCATTATTCTGTGAAGGTATGAGTGCAAGTTATTGAAATCATCATCATTCGTTTTTTTTTTGAAAAATGAAGGCAAAGCTGTAAGAGCACGGAAGTGATAAATTGTACACGACAAACATGAGGCTGCAGCTGGAGCTTTGGGAATTCCATTGTCAAGTAGCTTCAAAGCTGTAAAGTATCTACGACAGTCGACTGTGTAATTATAATGAGTTGTTGAGAAATGGGGGTTATTCCTCTTTCAGCAGAGAAGGTGAAGATGAGATTGAAGTGCTTGTGCCAACGTCTGGAATGTTGATAGGATGTAGGTGAAAGTACTGTTTCCTCTGGTTATGGAGTACCTGGCAAGCACTCGTCAATTTAAAATGATCCTGAAGTGTAAGGAGATTGAGGTGAAAAATTCTTCACACAGGATTGCTGTGTATTGCCTTGCTGCAGGCTGTAGTTGAAGAAATTATTCCACGTTTTAAAGGAAAAAGAAAAAAATATAGGTGAACTAGGGAATGGAATGGTATCGTGGGGATGGGGTGGGGGGCTGCTGTAGGGAGCAATCGTGCGGGAGAGAAGGGAGAGGAGAATTACTTTTTGTTTGACTCTGCATATCGAAAGCATTGGATGGATAGTCCCCACTTTTGTACTGCAAACTGCTGTGGCCCAAGTTTGGACTTGATTCATTAAGTGTGACTCCAAATCTGCTGTTAGAGATGATCAACAGATGTTTTCAGGCAATCTGGGTGTGGGGATGAATGGCCTGTGGAGGGCAATCTACTACTTGAAGGAGAAAGCATGCATCATTGATTTGTTTTGAACCTTTCAAACAATTTAATCGTAAAGTGTCCCAACAGAGTGCTCCTTTCAAAGCATTCCTCTCCTTTAAAATGGTGTCTGTGAACTGTGGCCTGCGTTTAAATGAAAATGGCTGCGCTGGTGTTTTTCGGTTAAATGTAGTTATCCTCTGAGACAGCAACAGCTCTTCATTTCTTCTCCACTTTGTTTCAGATGTGGGTAGGTTTTTAAGAGGAGAAAGGAACAATGTCTAGTGAGTCCAACTTAATTGCAGCTTCAGCATCGAAGGGCATTAGTAATAGCAGGAGCGACTGATTTGACGGATTTCCTTATTCTTGTCATGGGCTGCTGTAATAGACATGAATTCGCATATTGATGGGAGGGTGTGACTGCAGTGCTCAGTGCAGTGGCTCATATTTTAACAGGTATTGACATCCTGTCTTAGTTTATTTTACAAGCATTTTAGCACTTCATTCTGCATGTACATGTTTGTGCTTGTTCTATCCTTTCCCAGGCTGTGGACCTTGGCTGGGCCAGCATTTGTTCTCCACCCCTAATTCTTGGTAGTAGTGAGCTGCCTCCGTGATTTGAAGTGTTGCGGGTGCACCCACATTGGGAGGGAGTTCTTGGACTTTAATCTCGTGACAGAACGGTAATCTACTTGTAAACTGAGATGACTGTGTCCCATGTACCTGCAACCCCTTTCCATCTAGGTCATGGAAATTGTGAATTTGGAAGGGAACAAAGGAGCCTTGGTGAGCTGCTGCAGTGTATCTTATAGATAGTACACACTGCTATTGTCCAATTGTACTGGACGGAATAGCTGTTGAAGATGGTGAATGCAATAGGGTAACGGTAACTGATTTGGCAATGCTTATCTTGGGTAACATGAACAGAACATGGATGTCATGGTGTTGAAGCAGCTAATTTAAGTGCACACAGTACTTCTTCAGGCACAGGAGTGTCTGGGCTGAAATCAAGTTAATAGGTTATAATAGAGAAACATGTTTCCAGTGGCATCAGGCTTTACTCCCTTGGGTCACATGCTATGATATAGCGATGACATAGGATCATGTCTCTTAAAAGTATAGTGACTACAAAACCTAACACAACAGCTATCTCCTATCCCATTAGCAAAGCATCCAGGTAACCACCTGAATAGTCAACTGGGGGAGGACGAAGCATTAGACACATCCCTTGTGACAATGAGAATCAGACTGTAAAAGGAAAGTTTCCAGATGTGACCTAACCCTATAAATAAGGCAACTAGACTCTATTAGCCATAACCATATTTGGATCACTGTGCATTTGGAGGGAGCACATGATGTGACAAGCCAGCTGACTTTTTTGTATTTGAGATCCTGTTTTCTCTGCAGACCTGTGCTCTCTGTCAACGTGATACTATAGAAACAAAGAATAACTTAACTGCCATCATCTTTGCCAGCAGCCAGAAGGACGGTAGAGTTTCAGTCTGTAGCCAGTTACTTCGTCAACTTTTCAAGATCTTTATATCTATTTAACTTTAGCAGACTGTAAATTGCTTCATCTGTCCCTTAACTCGGTAATCTATTTGGGTATCTACTTCGAGAGCGTGTTTGTGTGAAAGGTGGAACATTTATTATTCTTATACTTGGTTATGTACAACACATACTGTTCCCTTGTTTTAAAAACCCAAGGTAACTTGGTGGTGAGTCTTTTACAGCCATTACACTGACTGGACTGGCTAATATATCTCTTATTGCAAACCAGTTGTGGTAAAAGGAGGTGTAGGAAAAGAAGGAACTCACCATTTCCACCTTTATCTGGTCATAATAGTGCTCATAATGGAATGCCATTCTGTGGCCGTTATTTGCTCAGGAAGAGAATTGAATCCAGGTTGGAATATCCCTCTTCTCCTGCCATGTCAATAAGCTGGTCCCTCCTCCCCCTCCTCCTCCTTCCCCCTGGAAACCTGTTTGGAAGCAGCATGATTTTGTACTGAGCCTTTTGCCAATATTATTCCAAGCTGCTTTCCAAGGTGCACATTGCAGAAATCTGGAGAGGATTTTCTTGGAATTCCTGTGGTGGGGATGTCACACAGTGTTATGGTAACAATAAGTCAAATCCATTGTTAAATGGGATTCCAGTTGTATTTTCAAACCTGTTGTTTTGGGCATTGGTTCCTTTCAAGTAAACCTCTTAAAGTTTTGTAATTGCAGCAGTTTAGTTCTTTGTGTGGCATTATGCAGCATTTCAAGATGTGACCGTCAATCTTAAGAGTAGCTGTGCCAAGATTGGTCCACATCACTCGTGAGAAGAACAAGACACTGACAACAGGATGGCAACGTGATCCCTATCCCATCACTAGCATACAACAGAACAACATCAGTCACTTTTCTGACCTAGGGAGCAACATCTCCAGGAGGTATAATACAGAGTTCGATGTAGCATCAGTCAACCAGGGGTGGCAATGGCCTAGTGGTGTTATCGCTGGACAGTTAATCCAGAGACCCAGATAATGTTCTGGGACCGGGGTTCGAATCCCGCCATGGCAGATGGTGGATTCAATAAAAATATTTGGAATTAAGAATCTAATGATGACCATGAGTCCATTGTCAATTGTCAGGAAAAACCCATCTGGTTCACGAATGTCCTTTTGAGGGAAGGAAACTGCCGTTTCTGATGAAGGGTCTCGGGCCGAAACGTCAGCCTTTCTGCTCCTATGATGCTGCTTGGCCTGCTGTGTTCATCCAGCTCTGCACCTTGTTGTTTCGGATTCTCCAGCATCTGCAGTTCCTACTATCTCAAACTGCCATCCTTACCTGGTCTGGCCTACATTTGACTCCAGACCCACAGTAATGTGGTTGACTCTGATTTGCCCTCTGGGCAATTAGAGATGCACAATAAATGTTGCCTAGCCAGCGATGCCCTCATCTCATTAATGAATAAAAAAAACCTCAAAGTCCACTCAGTGTGGGAATTGCAATGCTGTCACCATGCCCACGAGGAAGGGTCACTGGACCTGAAATGTTAACTCTGATTTTCTCTTCACCTGCTGAGCTTTTCCAGCAACTTCTGTTTTTGTTCCTGATTTTCAGCATCCGCAGTTCTTCTGGTTTTTACCATGCCCGTGATGTTGGAACTCTACATGTCCATTGTCACATTAAACACAATCTATGCCAGTGAGAGAACAGTGAGCATGTCTGTTAAGTTTCACCAGTGATGCCCACATAAGATCCTGGGCATCACATGGAGAGATAATATCACTAGTGAAAAGTGCTACACAGGACTACTCAGGTACCTACTGGATATTGACATAGACAGGTGTTGATACTGTCTGGGCACCCATTTTGCCTCCCGGATGTACACCATGCTCAAGAGGCAGTTGAATAGACATCAATAGATGGGGAAGGAAAATGGGGTCAGCCAAAGGAAGCTTTAAGAAATACTTTTGAAGAGGGCCTCCAAGAGCAAGACACCACCTGGGCTGGGGACAAAGGTCAGTGGTGGAGTCTTGTTGCTTGTTGTCCTGTACTGGAGCAGAGGAGCCAAGTCTTAGGTTTAAGTAAGTGTTCGACATTGAGAGTTCAGTTTAGTCTGTTTTTCCCTGAGAACTGCAGAACAGTCATGCTGGTGGTGAGAAGAGCTAGCTACAGCTGAATGTGTACATACTGAATAAGATTTACTGCTATGCTTTAACTTTACTGAGAATAGCTAATGCATTGACAAAACCCATTGATGGAATGTGTTTTTTTCTTCCGACACTAAATTGATGAGCCTCTTTGCTGTTTAAAATACTGATTAACCTACTCATTGGTGTATTCTGCATTGACGTAGCTTATCACCTCTTAGAGTATGGGCCAAATAAGGCTAGTTACTGAGCTGACAATGTGAAATGCCTGATTGATTATCTCAATGCACTTTGTGCAATTGAAGCTTCATTTTTTTGGAATAGCTCTGTATGTTGGCCCGGAAAGGACTGCAGTGAGTAGAATATTTTGATCTGGTCCTTCGCAGCTGTCTTTCCTCCCTGGTTAATCTGGTTCAAACACTGGTTTATATTCCTGAAAACATCTCTAAATAATTGAGTGCTTTTTCAAGTGAAGCAAAGCCCTAGTATGTAGATTTCCCAACTGAACTTGTTATATTCAGTCAACTTATTTGCAAGAGGAACAGGTGTGAGTGAGACTGATGAAGAGGAGAGGGCTGCTACAAGTATTGAGAACAATTTAACAAATTTGCCATTTGCTAATGGATTTTACTCAGAACATATATTTGGAAATTATTCTGATGTAAGATCTTTGGATAGGTAATCAGATGTCAGGAGAATATTGCATCATGTAAATTACACTTGACATGCAGCACTTGGTCTCGCCTGTGGTTTTTTTGAGTCTGGTGCATTGAAACCTGTTGGAGAGATCTGCAGAAACTCTGCATTTGAGTTTGAATCTGCCACAAACAGTCGCAATCCAAATAGCGTCACGAGGACCCTAATTTAAAACAATTTTGCGCGTGCTCAATCTCGTTTTCATTGCTTGCAAGTAGATCTCTGCAATTTGGTATGACATGGCATTAAATTAAGAAGTTGTCTGAGGGCTCGCAAGTTAGGCTAGAAGTTGACAGTCAGCTGCAGGTCTCGGTTTACAGTCCTTCCATTGTGTCTGGCTACCTCTGCAATAAGATACAGCAGATACTTGATTTTGCCAGTGTTCTTAGTTTGGAAATATACTTTGCTCTGGTCATCTATGAACTGATAAACAGAATAGAAGGACATAGATAAATATATTTTGAATCTTGGTAAGATTAGGTTAAAATGAAAAACAAATTCAAGTAACAACTATTTGCATCGGAGAAATCCAACATTAGACTACCTACTGAACCTTCTGACGTAATTTGAATCTGTTATTGAGGGTGGTGGGGATGGAAAGATTTTTGTCTTAGTCCAGCTTCTTAGACAATTTTTTCATCCATAAGCACTTTACAGCCAATGAAAATACTTTTCTTGAGTGTGGTCATTATTGAATACAAGAAAAACATAATCCAGTTTATCCAGAGTGAACTTCAACGAGCAATCTTAAAATGATCAAATAATCAATGTGTTTAATGGAGGATAAGTATTGTCTATAATATGGAGGAGCACCGCTACTCTTCAACTCATGTCTGAGATCTTTGTGTCCACCTGAAAAAGCAGGTGAAACCTTTGGTACAATGTTCCATCTGTAAGTTGGCACCTCCACCAGGTCAGCACCTCCTTTGTACTGTGATGAGATGGGAAGCTGGATGTTGTCATCGGGGTTTTGAATGGGACTTGATTTGTTGATCTTTAGGTTTGAGGTCAAAGTGTATGCCTTATTGAGCCAGCACGGACAATTCAGCTGCTGAGATCCCACAGGATTTCCCATTTCCACTGCTCGCTCCCTGTTTCCATGTTCCTGTGGTAATGCAGCTGTAGTTCATTTTACTTCAGTGTCAGCAGATACTTCTAAGAATGGTCAACCAGTCTGGTAGTGCGCTTTTTCTTCCTCATTGAGAACCAGATTGTCTTGTATCAAACCCTTCACTTCTATAGCAAGTGGATGAAAAATTGTCATCTTGTTACCAAGTGGTGAGTGAGCAGTTTTCAGTCAGAAAATGTCAAAATGTTTCTCAAGTAATCACTGGTTACGGCAGAGAAGGAGATCATGTGGCTTTTGTGTCCATGCCAACTCTCTGAAAGAGCACTTTCCCGACTACCACCCTAGCCATCTTTTTCAGTCATTGATAGGGCATCACTGTTTGTTGCCTATCCCTAGCTGCCCTTGAGAAGGTGGTGGTGAGCTACGTCCTTGAACAGCTGTCGGCCATTTGATGTAGGTATCCCAATAATGGTGTTAAGGAGGATGTTTCAGGATTTTGACCTAGTGTCACTCACGGAGCAGTGATATATTACTGAAAGTCAGAATGATGAGCGTTTTCAATGTAGCCACGCACAACATACCTCCACATATTTCAGCATACATTTGAATGAGCATTTAAAGTTCTCACCATGACTTAAGGTTTTTTGCTTGAGCTGGCATGACTTGCATTCTGTTTGTTCATATTGCACATGACTAAATGGAAAAAAGTATTTTGCAAATTTTTGAAACTAATTTCAGCTGTTGCTGAATGTGATTTGTCACAATCTGGTGATAAATGCAGACATTTATCTCTTATTAATGCTTTGGTAATGAACATTTTTAAATGTGAGCAAAATTGAGATGGGAATATCAGTACTGACACAAGTTACATTTATCATGTGTGCAATGTTGAATTAAAGAGAAGAGAGTTTTATGTTAAATAGCACCTTTTTGTAATCTCTGGACATCTGAAAATAATTCATAACTAATGAAGTATGTTTTGAAATCTTTTTTTATAGGTCATGTTTGCGAGGTGGTAAAGACTCGAATTACATTGACCAGACTGGAAGGTGACCTGATTTTCTATCTAAAACATAGTGTTGGAAATCACAGACTTCCTGTCATGTGTCTCATTCAAACTGATTTGTAGAGAGTTGAGATTAATTTTGTGGGGTTCAGGTTAACTCTCAGTGGTGTGGGTTCAATCCCCTTACTGGCTGTGGAGGTTCTTGAGGGTCTCATTTCCTTACTTTACGCATTGCTCAATGAGTGGTGGTATCCTCCAGTCCCTTGCTGATTGATTATTGCTAGTTAGTTAAATTTCCTTTGCAGCAGGGTCCTTTTAACAACCTGAAGTTTTCTTTCATCATTAACGGGATGAGGGCGTCACTGCTTAGGCCAGCATTTATTGCCCATCCCTAATTGCCCAGAGGGCAGTTTAGAGTCAACCACATTGCTGTGGGTCTGGAGTCACATGCAGGCCAGACCAGCTAAAGATGGCAGTTTCCTTCCCTAAAGGACATCCGTTGAATCAACTGCTCAGCATGTATTGAGTAAATAGGCAAAGGTAAAGTTATCGTAGTCTTAGAGGACCATAAGGCTGCTCTCTCTGTCTCTCTCGAGATGACTGGTGGTGAACTTAACCTGAGGGTCACCGCAGGCAAGCGAACTTCATTTTCAATCAATTGACAAGATTCAGGTTGAAAAACATAGCTGTTGCGGTTGAAGTATAATGGGGGTACATTTTGACTGGGAGACAGCTAAGATTGGAATACAAAAAATCATGTGCTTCACATCATTGTCTGTACCTAGTTGCCCCTGAGAAAGTAGTGGTGGGCTGCCTTCTTGAACCGTGGCAGTCCAATTTGGTGTTTGTTTACCCACAATGCCATTGGGGAGGCAGTTTGAGGATTTTTGACTCCGACACACAAGTAACAGACACATTTCGAATTCAGGATGATGTGTGGCTTGGAGGGAAACTTACAGGTTAGTGTTCCCATGTACTTGCTATAGTTTACCTTCTAGATGGTAATAGTTGTAGGTTTGGAAGGTGATGTTGAAGGAGTCTTGGTGAATTTTTGCAGTGCATCTTGTAGATAGTACACATTGCTGCTACTGAGCATCGGTGGTGAGGGAGTGGATGCTTGTGGATGTGGTGCTGTGTCCAGAAAGCCAGGCTTTTTGAGTGTTGTTTTTTTTTTTTTGATATCTGCAACAATGCTCATGAAATTGCATTCCTCCCTCAGCGGGTCTGACAGCTGAAAGCCTTACTCACTGCTTTTACCATTGTTAGTCTGTTTACACCATTGCTCTTCCTTATTGTGTTTATATCCATCGCCCTGTCCAAAATACATCCTTTTGAAGATATACAAGGATACATGTTTGCAGGAGTAAGCGACCTTGGTCCCTCAAGACTGTCGTGCTGTTCAAAAAGATTATGGCTGATCTAAATACTCTACTTTTCTACTTCGTTCAATAACTTTCAACCCCTTGCTTGTGAAGAATCTTTCCATTTCTGCCTTGAAATATTTTTTTCAAATATTTTGTTTCAAGTATCTCGTCAATCCTTTGGAGCACCATATATATCACTGTAATTCACCTGACGAGCTCCCATTATTTCTTCTTGTATCGTCCATCTTATCATATGATTCCTGTCAAGGTACTTGTACACTATTCCAAGAAGTGACTTGTCATATCACTTCTCATCTTTATCCAAACTACTTGTGGATCCTTGTTTCTTGTACTTGGATTTTTCCTCTCTCTCTCGTACTAATACCGTCATTAATTAACTGAGCCCCCCTGCCTCTCCATCTTTTCTGAGCTCCTGCCCATCTTCAATGTCCTTAAGTACTTGAGTCACAATCTGTCATCTTGCAGTTATGTCTCTTTAATGGCTATTAGATTGCACTCAGCTATTCTATGTGTGCGATGAGCTCATGTGTTTTGTTTTGAATGCAGCAGTCAGTCAGATACAGAGTCCTTGTACTATTTTTATAACCTCTAGCCTCATCTGTTGATTTACTCCTGAGATTAGTACACCCTGTCCTTTCCTGTCATGGTCTGTTTATAATTTCCCATACTCTCTTTTTTTTCTCTCTTGCCCTGTCTTGCGTCCATACTTGGATTTATCTCTTTGGAAATTTGGTCCTTTAGGTCCACTATTTAGATTAAAGCCCTCACTACTTCCTCAGTTATCTGCCTCGTAAGAACTGTTAGCCTCAGTATCGTTCAGATTTCAACTAATCCTGCTGCGCAGCCCCAACTTTGCCTGGTACTGGTGCCTGTGCCCATAAACTGCAGTCTACTTCACACTCGTCTTTGAACCCCATATTTACATCTCTAATTTTATTTCCATTTGTCAATTTGCAGGTGGCTCATAATAATCCAGAGAGTATTGACTTTGAGACTGTGCTTCTTTACATAATGCCTAGTAGTTTTATGTTGTGTATGGAGAACCTCTTTTCACTGGTTTTGCATATATCATTTCTATTTCTACGGACCATGGTACCTGGACACACTCCCTGACTCTCCCCGAAATTCCCCTCTGGCCTTGAGAATGTGCCCTGAGCCCCCAGCATTTAACATAGCTTTGTGCACCATCACTGTTTGCTGCAGAGGACTGTGTGTAACTCTGACGCTACATTTGTCCTTCAGCTCACTGTCTCACTTTATGCTCGCCCCTCTTGAAGCCACGGTCCATTAGCTCAACCACCCTGCAGCTCCCACACTCATCCACACAAATGGAAAGCACCTCCCATGTGTTGGACAATTGCAAAGGTTGAGGCTCCTGTCCCTGTGAGTCCCCTTTTCTGCCTCACTCTGAGTCACATCGTTCTTTCTCTGAGCACTGACCAAATCTTGAAGACCCTTCTTTCAGAGTGTGTCCACCTCTGAGGATAAGTGTGCAGGTAACTTTTTGCCCTCCCTGATGTATTACAGTGTCTACAGTTTGGCCTCCAGCTTGGAAACGCTGAGCAGGAGCTGCTCAAGCGGCAGCCCCGTACTGCAGACACGATTGCCCTGGATTCCACAGTTTTCAAATGTAGTGTCATGCCTACACTGCCATCTTTATTGTGTCTTAATTAGACAATAATGATATGATTAATTATTATTAATATCTCTTCTCACTAGCTTAAATCTTAGAATCAAATGACTTAAAAATAAAGAAATAATAAAGTTAATAGTTCGCTTTCTGCTAGTATCTCTTAATTATGAACTAGATAATTACAGGTTGGTTCAAATGCTTGGACTTTTACAATACTTGGTCACTAACACCGCTCCTCACAACTTGACTGTTGTTTCAAATCTGGTTTATTTGTCTTCCTTGCCACTTTGTGCATCTTTCACAGGTCTGCCTGTGTTTGCTCATCACCAGTCAATTGTCTTCCTGCTTTCCTATGATCCCACTGTTACCTGCTTCTTTCGAAGTGCCTGACCTTGCCCACTCTTGTAGGTGCTGCTTGACTGCCTTTATTGGGATCCTCCGCTTATCCCTTCTCCTCAGATGCTGCTGGCCTGTTCGTTTTACTGTATCAGAAGGACTTGTGAACGCAATTCTTGTTTTTGTAACTGTTTCTCAACACAGCTACACCTGACAGTGCAGTTTTGTTTATCCCATTTGCATCCCAATATTCTTTGATTGCAACAGAGGATGAGTCCATTTGGCCCTTCATGCTTATTGTCAGCTCATGGTTTAAGCAACCCAGCTAGTCCTACCACGCTGTTATTGCCCTGTGGCCTTGCTGATTTTATCTCGTCGGATAATTATTCAAATCTCTTTGAAAAGCCATGATTGACTGTCTCCGTCACGTTCACAGCGCATTGCAGAAGCCAACCACTTGCTGTGTTAAAAAAGATTTCTCTTTCATCTAATCTGTCCATTCCCTTCATGATTTTTCAATTATTTTATCAAATCTCCTTTCAGCCTTCTCTGAGGAGAACAGCATCGTTTCCAGTCCACTCAAATTTCTGAAAACCCTAACTCCTGGAATCATTGTCATGAATGTGTTCTGCATCCCTGTCTAAAGCATTCACTTCTCTGTTAAAAGTGTGGGGCTCAGAATTGGTCAGAATACTGTAGTGGAGGCCAAACCAGTGCTTTATTAGGTCTCTTTGTAATTTCCTTAATATTGTACCTGGCTTTGATTAATAAAACCCTGGATCCTCTATGCTTTTTTTTTAAACCATGTTTTCGACCTCTGCTGTCACTTTGAATGATTTGAGCCTCCAGCTCCCTCTGCTCCCGCGCCTTTTTGGAATTTTTTTTTAAGCTTCGTGTTGCCCGCCCTTGTTTCTCCTCCCAAAATGTTCCCTGACTTTCATTGTTCTGTCTTTCCCTGTCGTGAGAATTCATCTCCAGTGAACCGGAACCAGCTGTATAGAGGCATCTGCTTTACTGTTTCTGGTCACTCTTCAACTCCAGTTGATTGAGCCTGGATGTGTCCTGACCTCACGGATATTAGCTGTCCCCAAATGATTTATTTTTACTCTGGATTTCTTTGCCCGCTTCTTGCATAAATTCTAAAACAAGATCACTGCCCCATAAGTTGGTCCACTTTGCTTACCTCGTTCATCAGAACTAGATCAAGCGACGGCCAAGAAACGTGCTGATCTAGAAAATATTCCTAAGCACACTTGAGAAACTCTTCCTCTCTGTCGTTTGCACTGCAAGGTTTAGTCTATAATAATGTTAATTGAAGCAGATGAAATCCAATAAAGAGATGCACAGTGATCTGTTTTAGTGAGAAGAACATGGACGCACAATATCAGATAAAGGAGAAGGAGCAGGCAATGGCCTCGTGGTAATATCGCTTGACTATAATCCAGAAACTCACGTAATGTTCTGGGGACTTGGGTTCAAATCCAGCCATGGCAGATGGTGGAATTTGAATTCAATAAAGAATTTGGAGTGAAGGGTTTAACGATGACCATGAATCCATTGTCAAATGTCAAAAAAACCCCTCTGATTCACTAATGTCCTGTTATCCTTACCTGGTCTGGCTTACATTTGACTCTAGACCCACATCAATGTGGTTGACTCTTAACTGCCCTCTGGGTAATTAGGGATGGG